ACATACTTCTTATTGAATTTTAGGGTTGGAAGAAAAACAGAACTAACAGAACCTTAACTAGGAATATAGGGAGATTGAGTAGTTCCTTCATTATAAAGTAAGACACTTTATAAAATGTGCCCTAAATTCTGTTTGCCTGTCCATAGAAGATGGGCAATGTGTCCTATGCCATTGTTGCAAGCATACTGATGTATGCTTTCACAGACTCAATCAAATGACTCTGTTCTCATTATGGATCAAAGCTATTTTCATCATCATGGTCTTTACTCTTTTTCTGGTGCATAAATTTTGTAGTCCTGGGTAAAACACTGCATATCCTAGAAAAACAGGAAGCTTTCTGCTGTAACTTAAGAATGGAGTGGTCGTTTTACTAACCTTTTAATTCTTGGTTAAGTGACACAGGGTATGTTATAAATTTCTTTTAAACATCTCATCATTGAACTGCTTTTTCTCATTTCCCATGTTAGAGAAGTTCAAACAGAGTGGTGGGTTAGAATGGACAATAGACCTTAGCTCTTTGTTCACCTGCAACTCAAGAACTTTAACTAAATTCTTTTCCCCTTTTGGGACCCAGATTCCACTGTTGTTCAGTGCAAAATATAGAGAACGAGTGATCTTTTCTAGATCCAGTATTCCTTGAAAATCTGATTTTTTACTTATCAGCTTTGAGTCCCTGAAATCAAGGCCTTGTGTAGGGAGAGAACTCATTCTTACTCCAGGGAACCAGTTACCTCCCTTAAAGTTCAAAGTGGCAAAATAAAGTTTGGAAAAAAGTAGCTGTTAGGTATTGAATAGAACCCTGATATTAAAGCAGAATTTCTCCAAATTTAAGTGACTTCACACAAGGCATCATCTTATGTCACAATGAAATGTCTCTTTTATAAAGCTTTCAAAAATTGATATCCTTAGATTCTTAACTCTAGAGAAAAATCTGATGGTTACTGGGGAGGTGGGTGGGAGATGACTGAAATAGGTGTTGGGTATTAAGGAGTACACTTGTTGTGATGAGAACCCAGTGATATATGGAAGTGTGGAGTCACTATGCTGTACACCTTAAACTAATATTACACTCTTTGCTAAATAAGCGGCATTTAAATAAAAACTTTAAAATTGGCATCTTTAAGTAGGTATTAGGAGCTGTTAAAAATAATATATGACACCATTTTTCACAGATCTAGGTTAATTTGGGGATTACTTTTTTCTAAAATTTGGAGACATTTGAAATTTTTTTATTTTTGCTACTGCCACAAAATTCTGAGCTCATTAGTGGCAGTTCTACTGCTGATATATGTGTGGCCTTTTTATTTTTTTTAACTGTTATTTGGTTATTGAAACTGCTTTTTAAAAATCATCACATTTAAGACATTTGGTAAGTAATTACTGGTTCATTTGGAAGTTGAAACATGTAAATTTTTAACCATTTTTGATTTTTTCAAATCACAGCAAAATTGACCAAGCAAAATGTACAAAACCCCCAATTCTCCAAAAAGCAAAATTATGTATTATTATTACACCAAGGTTAAGAAATAGAATCTAATACAATCTAAAACCATTTAGCATTATCTATACAAGGTGATGGTGTATTTACCCTATTATCCCCAAATTCCAAACTATTCCATAGGTGGTTATTTATTGTGCACAAAACTAAGAGATATAAAAGTCTATTGAGAGTAGACTTATTCATCCAACAAAACAATGGAAAACAAATAATACCTCAAGTATCAGTTTGTAGAAGAATAAACGGCAATGATTTCTATACATCCACATAGTGGAATATTAGGTAGGGGTGAAAGTAAATAAACTACAGCTCTAAACATCAGTATATATTCATGTCACAGAGAATGAAGAAAAAAAGACATGTAAGATGCATACAGTTTGGGTTTTTTTGCATAAATTATCAAAATATCCAAAACTGTACATGAGCATATGCATTGTTATGAATTCTCAAGGAAGATAGGGAATCATAAATAGAAAATTTGGTATATGTGGGAGAAAGGAATGAGAAAGGGGTGAACTGGGAGGGGTGAGGATGGGGAGTTGATTACATGATACAAACACAGTCAGCCAGTTGCATGGACTTTCTTGGATTTTTAAAACAATATTGGTAACATTTTATTATTTACTGGAATATGACTACAGAAGTGTTTGTTTTTAGACCAACATATAGATTATATTTATCCTTTTTTGGATATATGGCATTTCCTATCTATCTTACACCATTTACAAAATAATCAACTCAAAACAGATTAAAACTTAAAAGGTGAGACTTGAAACTGCATAACTCCTAGAAGAAAACATAAGGGGAAAAAAGCTGACATTGGTCTTGGTAATGATTTCATTGATGTGATATCAAAAGTACAGGCAATAAAAGCAAAGGTAGATGAGTGGGACTACTTCAGTGAAACAGTTTCTGTACAACAAAGGAAACTATCAATAGAGTGAAAAGACAACTTGTAGAGGGGAGAAAATATTTGCTAACCACCTATCTGGTAAGGCTTAGTTTCCAAAATAGAAAAGGAACTCTTTCAACTCAATGGCAGAAAGCAAATAACCAGGTTTAAAAATGGCCAAAACACTGGAGATAACAAATGTTGGCAAAGATGTGGAGACATTGGAACTCTTGCACGCTGTTAGCGCTATGGTCTGAATGTGCCCTTCCCAAATTCATGTGTTGAGAACCTAACTCCCAAAGGTGATGATATTCTTGGGGTCTTTGGGAGGTACTTCAGTAATGCAGGTGAAACCTTCATAAATTGAATTGATACCTTAAAAGAGAGGCTACAGAGAGAACACTAACCCCTTCCCCAAGTGAGGGCACAGGAAGAAGGCACTAGCTATGAAATAGGATGAGAATTTTCATCAGAATGCAACCATACTTGCACCTTGACCTCGGACTTCTCAGCCTCCAGAGCCATTCATTTTTTTGTTGTTATAAGCTACCCAGTTGTGGCATTTTGTTATAGCACTCCAAATGGACTAAGACGTTGGTGAGAATGTAAAGTGGTGCAGCTACTATGGAAAACAGAATGAAAGTGCCTCAAAAAATTGAAGATAGAAGTACCATATGATCTAGCAATTCTGTTCCTAAGTAAATATCCCCAAGATTGAAATAAGGATCTTAAAGAGATATCTACCCTCCTGTGTTAATGGCAGCATTATTCACAATAATCAAACTATGGAAATAAACCAAATGTCAACAGACAAAAGGATGAAGGATGAAGGTATACATATACAATGGAATTTTATTCAACATTAAAATTAAAGGGAAAGCTACCATTTGCTATAATGTGGATAGACCCAGAAGATATTATGCTAAATGAAATATTAGTCACAGAAGAACAAATACTGATATGATTTCTCCTGTATGAGTTATCTAAAGTAGTCAAACTTATCGTAGCAGAAAATAAAGTGGTGGTTTCCAGGGGACTAAAGGAGGAAGAAGAGGAGAAACTGTTGCTCAGTGGATATACAGTTATAGTTACACAAGATGAAAAACTTCTAGATTTCTGCTGTGAAACTTGGTGTCTACCGTAACAATATGGTGTTGTGCCATATTGTTATCAAGAAGATTACATACCCAGAAATGGGATTGATCCAATATATGGTAATTCTATATTTAATTTTTTTAGTAACTCCCATACTATTTTCCATAATGCTGTACCAATTTCCATTCCCACCAGTAGTGCACAAGGGTTCCATTTTATTCCGTGGCATTGCCACATTTACTATCTCTTGTGTTTTTGAAGACAGCCCTTCTGGCAGGTATGAAGTAACACCTCATTGTGGTTTTGATTTGCATTACCATGATCATGAGTGGTATTGAGCAGCTTTTTACGTATCTGTTGGTCATTTGTATGTTTTTTTTGGAAGAATATCTATTCAGTTCCTCTGCCTATTTTTTTTTAAAGATTTTATTTGTCAGAGAGAGAGAGAACAAGCAGGGAGAGCAGCAGGCAGAGGGAGAAGCAGGCTCCCCACTGAGCAAGGGACTCAGTCCCAGGACCCTGGGATCTTGACCCGAGCCAAAGGTGGATACTTAACCAACTGCACCACCCAGGCCCTCCTCTGCCCATTTTTTAATCAGGTGCTTGTGAGATTTTTCTGTGTTTTTTGGGGGGGAGTTTGTTATTTAGTTGTATGAATTATTATTATATTTTAGAAATTAACCCTTCATCAGATATATGATTTTTAAATATTTTCTCCCATCTATATCATTATTCATGATATCGAAGATAAAAAACAACTTAAGTGTCTGTCCATGGATGAATAGGTAAAGATGTGGTGTGTGTATAAATGCAATGGAACATCATTCAGCCATGAGAAAGAAGGAAATCCTGTTATAGGTGAGAACATGGATGGACCTTGAGGGCATGATTCTAAGTATAAGCCAGACAGAGAAAGACAAATACTGTATCACTTATATGTGGAATTTAAAGGCAAAAAAAAAACAAAACCCTTTACTAAGAAATAGAGTAGAATTGTAGTTTTCAGGGGCTGGGGAATGGGGAAAATGGAAAGATGTTAGTCAAAAGGTACAAACTTTCTGTTATAAGATGAGTAAGTTCCAGAGATCTAATGTATAGCAGAGTGACTATAATTAGTGCTACTTACTATACACTTGAAAGTTGCTAAGAGAGTGGACCTTAAATATTCTCACCACAAAAAAAGAAAAACGTAATTATGTGACAGGATAAACATTAGCTAATACTGTGGTGGTGATATATAATATATTTACAATATAAGAGCATATCGAATCAACACATGCACAACTTAAAGTTAACAATATATATTAATTGTATTTCAATAAAGCTGGAATATATATATATACAAATACATCTCTGTGCACCTTGTACCAGTCTAAAATGAACTGTGCGGTCTTTTCCTCAGGAATCATGCAGTCTGGGACCTCGTTCGTTGTCAGCTGTGTCAAGGACACTCTGCTAGCATCTTGAATTCCTCCACTCACCATCCTTCCTTCCAGATGTTAGCACTGCATTGGCTACCACACATGCATCGCAGGATGTTGAGGACCACTCCTCCTAGGATCCTAATGCTTTGTCTTTCCTAATCTATTAGGACCCTAAGTAGGAGTTTTCTTGTTGATAACCAAGGCCAAGGGGAGGATGAAAAGTCACCAGGACCACACATTCTAAAGAAAAACAACAGCCAGACTCCCCTGTGCTAATGGCTTACTAAGAAGCAACCAAAGGGGCCCTACTGCCAGAAACCACTGCTTAGCCTGCAGACTTACTTCCCAGAATGGAGAAAGATTCTTGAAGATCACTGGCTTTCTAAGGAGAGCCATGTCTATGTGAGAATCCCTCCAACTCTGCTGTGGAGGCAGGAGCTCGAAGAGAAGGGGAGAACTGCATGAAGGGGAGACTGCATTCTCTGCCCTCCACCCCCCACCCCGTACCTCTCCCCTGCCCACTGTGTAGTGGGTGGGGTTGGTGGGTTTCACAGTAGTTTCACAAATGAATGATAGTTCCCTAAATCTGTCACTTAAATTTATATTTCTGGGTATGAAGGGAAAGAAACGTGATTTAACCTATGGGCTCTTTGAGGTCAAGTGTCATTTCTTTCCTATGCATTTCTAGACATCATTTTTAAAAAAGTGACACCATGAAAAGGCTATTTTAAATTAGATGATCTACATTAAATAGTTACAAATTTTAAAATGTTGGTTTTCAGGTAAGATCAGATAGTTGGTTACTATAGTGTTTTTTTAAATGGAAATTTCTAATTTAGTTTTTAATTAAATTATATATGGCAAAATTCATTGTTTCTGGTATACCTTTCTGAGTTTTGACAAATACACATGGTCATGTAACCACCATCAAAATCAAGATGCAAAACCATTCTGTGACCATCCCCACATTCCTTTGTGAAAATTCCATAAGGGAATTTTCTTTATGGCAGGTAAGATATTGCCTGTTTTCTGACAAGGCAATTTGCTTCAAAGACAGACTTGGGCTTATGTGCAGGTGGAAAGTGAGGCAAAATATCCCACAGAGAGCATCAATGAATCTGATTTTTTGGAAGAAAGTAATATCTTTGAGTTTATTAGTTTGGATAATGACATATGCCTTCCCATAAGAGGTGCTCTAAGCGTGTCTACCTTTGAATTCTTTAAGAATAAAGCTCATTGGCTGACCATGGTTTTCTTTTCTTTTCTTTTTTTTAAGATTTTTTTATTTTGAGAGAGAGAGAGAGCACAAGCAGGGAAAGGGACAAAGGGAGAGAGAGTAGCAGACTCCCTGCTCAGCAGGGAGCCTGCCCTGGGACTCTATCCCAGGACACTGAGATTATGACCTGCACTGAAGGCAGATGCCTGACTGAGACATCCAGATGCCCCTGACCATCGTTTTTCGACTGTATCCAGCTACAAGATGTGATTAACAAACCTGCCTCTGATGATCAGATTTAGTTTCTTTTGCTTCTTGGATATTGGGAATAGCCTGCTTCTACAGAATCCCATGGTCAATTCTCTTGCCTATATTGATCTCCTTATATTTGCTATTTTGTCTCCAGTATCTAAAAGGATCTCCTAAGTGCTATAAATTTTGGAACATTGGAGAGGAGACATAAATAAGCATGTAGTCAGCATTTTCCAGCAAGAGTTAATATTCAGAGCTTGTAAATGGGTACAATAGACAGCATGTCAAAAGTTCACACATCACCAGTTCAAATAAGCTGGTCCACTTCTATATGCCATGTGTGACAAGAGGTTCCACCACAGACTCAAAATTTCTCATTTTGCAGAGAAGAAAATCACAGTGAATTTTATTAATTAGTAAAAAATCACTTCTTCACACATTCAGGACTTACATAGGGAGGTAAACCATGTTTGTAGACAAAAATTGATACAAGTAATAAAAAATAGAAATTGTGGTTTCATTAACTTATAATTTTAACTTAATTCCCAAATGAAGAAATTCTGTAACTAAAAAAATCATCCAAATATATATATTTTATATGTGTGTATATATTTAGATGTGTGTGTGGAAACATGAATATTTAAGAAGACATTCATTTGATGAGGTGTGGAGAAATAGTCATGACTAATTTATCTTTTTCATAGTAAAAAACTAAAAGGGTGCTGGAAGTAATTTACTCTTATCTGTAAATTTTAAACTACATATATTATTTGACTCAAAATTCAACTTCTAATTGTCCAGATTGTATTGAATGAGCGTATAATGACCTGTACAGTCATGTTCAATACAACATTGCTAGCAAAAGTACTCAATAATTAATACCTTAAAAGGAATTGTATATATACTTGTATATTATAATTACGTACATATTTATACAAGGATATACGATTGACTGTTAAATGAAAAAAGATAGTTACAGGGAAATATCTTTGTTTATTCTTCTGTTTCTATTTTTATCTGTTCATCTGTTATCTATATCTATTATCTATCATATCTATCTCTATATATTATCTATTATCTATCATCTTTAAATCTTCAAATATTTCTCAGCTCTATCTTCATAAGGCCTTCTTCTTTGTGTGTCTGCATCAAATTTCCTTTTGCCTCTTTTTTATAAAAATACTTGTGATGACATTTAGGGCTCACCAAGATAATTTAGGTGCATAGATATGTATATATAGATATACACATATGTATATGTACTATGTGTAGTATACATATTATATATAATATGTAGTATATATACATATACTGTGTATGTGTGTATATGTACATAAGTATATAGGTATCTATGTATGTGTAGATGTAATAATACATATTATTACAAATATAACATATGTGTCATTATACATAGATACATATATAGATATATACATGCATATAGATACACATACATGGACACATATCTATATATACTCTATGTATATATTTGTGTGAGGTATTAGTACAGTTAAGTATCTGCACATTTATGCATATATTCAACCATTTGTGCATATTAAACATTTTCAAGGAGGATAGTTATGCATTAAATAATCCATACATTTAACATTCTCTTTTGTGGTTAATTTAAAAACTTCTGACCTGTTGTGCAACATAGGCAGTGTCTCCTGCTCTTAACCTCTGCTGATCAATATGTGTAAGAGAACTTCAGTTTAATTTCTCCATAAATGTGCCAAAAGGATTTGCCTGCATGAGTATCTTTGATGGTGTCTAGTTAAATATTTCAAAGGACAAATGTAAACACAATAGTCACTTTATTATAATAAAGGAACACTTTTTGCACTTATCAGATTTGGTACCCTCCCATTGAGTTGGCATGGAATGGTGCTAGATTCAAGGATTCTTTTCTAAACCTTGGCTTTCTTCACTGATTAAAAAAAATGCAGGTTAGATTAGGGTGACAAATTTAAGTCTGACACACAACCTATGCATAAACTTTTAATACTTTAACCTTAATATTTATGCAAGCCTATGAGACAGAAATTATTCTCACATTTAAAATTAGGAAGTTGTGGCTTAGAAGGTCTGAATATTGTGTCAAGGTTACTCCGTGGTAGATGGGATTTGAAATTAAGACTTTCATCTGCCAAATCTCTTACCACTGAGCCAGACCGCAAAGCAGATAAGTTAAATAGCTCTGATTAAATCTCTTCCTACTTCAAACCCTGTAGGGTCTTCCACTTAACTTTGAGGTAAAGATCAAATTACCCATCATACAATTCAGGGCACACACTGTCCTCTAGCCCAGGTCCCCAAAGTGGGCCATTCCAATGGTCAAGTAGGAATTTTTTTGAATATTTCAGGTTGTGAATTTGCACAATCATTTTACAAGATGTTCCCATTAGGGGAAATTGATTAACAGGAACATGAGAACTCCCTGCATTAGTACTTAAGGTTAAGAGAATCTCCACTGATCTCAAAATAAAAAGGTTAATACAAATCAAATCTCCAATTAAGTCCTGTGTGCTCCTGGCATTGCAAAATACTGAGTCCAAGTTATATTTCTAATTACAATTCCCCAAACCCTTTCTTCACTTCTTTTGATTCTCCTTTTCTTCCCAACTCAATAGCTTGGAAAGATTTCACATCTCTCTTCTATCTTGGTTTCAAAGCACTATTACCATCTCCCCTCCCCATACTTCTGGATACATCTGATCAAACTATCCCAAATTTGCTGCTTAGAGAAGACCTATGGATAATGCATTTGTGAGGCATCTCTCATGGCTGTTTTAGAGCCTCTAGACAGAACACAGAATACCTCAGCATCTTACCTGCTAGGAGCCATCTCACCCCCATTAATCTCCTCACCATCAGATGGAAAAAGGGGATTCCCCAGCTGGGTGGAGATAGTGGAGAAGTAAAGTGAACCCAACAGGCACCATCCTTAGAGCTGTAGACTCCACTCTCCATTGCCTTCTCTGTAAAGGTAGTTGTGGTATGGAGATTTGATGGGAAGACTGCTGTGGGTCAGTCTTTCCTGAAATAATGGCTTTTACTTTCTGATGAAAAACATTCCAAAAGTGCATGTTTCCGTAAATGCAGCCTGGCTCCTTGTGGGCTGAGCCAAGGTTTGGGAGAGTAAACAGCTCCTACTTAAATATGCACAGAGAACTTGCTTGGTGTTCCTTTCAAGTCCATACGAGGTCTTCTGTTACCATGTATGTCTTGTTGACACTGTGGGTTGAGGGAAGGAAAAAGGGAATAGTCCACACTAAGTAGGAGTCTAGGAAAGTGGAAAAGCTTCTTCACCTATAAGCAAGTTTCATTTGGAAATGGATGGATTGTCCCTGTGCCATATGTTATAACGTCTCTGTGGGTTTCTTCCACAGACTTGGTAAAATGTCTTTCTTCTTGACATGGATCAAAGCTATTTTTATCATTGCCTTGGCATTTCCTCATTATTCCGGTAAGTACATTTTTCAGTCCTGGATGAAGCATTTCCCATATCTTAGAAATGCAGCAAATAACTGCTATTATCTAGAAATTGAGGAATTTGATTTATAGGATTTATAAATCTTAAACTGGCAAAATGAAACTGAGTATGTTAGAAATGCCTTTTGAAATTGCGTCAGTGAGTTCCCTTATCTCATCTCCCACCTTAGAGATGTGGAGACAAAGAGGTGGGTTCCGATGAACTTACAGAATGAACTTATCTTTTTGTCCATCTATGACGAAAGATATATGTTTTTTTCCTTTTTGGAGGTCAGATTCCATGGTTGCTAAATGCAGAGTGTGGAAAGTAATGGTGTCATCTAGGTCTGACATTCCTTGAAAATCTGATTTGTTGTTTGCTACCTCTGAGTCAAGGGCTTGTATAAGGAAAGAATGATTCCTCTGCTAACAACTTATGCTCCTTAAAGCCCAAGGTGGCCCATGAATTTCAGAATAAAGTACCTGTGAGGTAGTGGAGAGATCCCTGATATTAGACCTGAGTACGAATTAATTAAATAGTAATCAATTTTCTTCATATTAAGTGACTTTTTGCAAGGCATATAAGTGGCACTAAGCAAACCATTGTCTTCTCCAACTAGGATGTCTTATCTATAAAAATGGGGAAAAAATCATAATTATAGTATTTATAGGAGGGTTTGATGATTATTAAATAATACATAAGATAATTTTCACAGAGCAAGACTAATTTGGAATTATTTTTTCTACATCTGAATTTAGTTTGTGAACTTACTGTTTTGATACTGCTATAAAAGGCTCATCTCATTATTTGCAGGGTCTTGATTAGGCAATTTATATATTTTGCTACTAAAAGATGTGGGTACTTTTCACCAGAGGCTCTGATGGTTTTCTCTTCTTCCTCATCTTATTTTTAATTTGTGTGTGGGGGGCTTGGTTGCAGAAACTTCTTTTAAAGGTTTCCCAGAAAGTCGTCAAATGGTAAGTTAATACTGATTACTTCAGGAATTAAAATTCATTTTTTATATTGTAAGTTTTAACAGCAAATTTCACTGTGTACGACAGAATGATCCTTCAAAAGTAACAGTTTTATTATTACATTAAGTTCAAGAAACAGAATCTTGCCAGACAAAATCATTTGACATTAAAGAAAAGGTAAGGGGCACCTGGGTGGCTCAGTGGGTTAAAGCCTCTGCCTTTGGCTCAGGTCATGATCCCAAGGTCCTGGAATCGAGCCCCGCATTGGGCTATCTGCCCGGCAGGGAGCCTGCTTCCTCTTCTCTCTCTGCCTGCTTCTCTGTCTACTTGTGATCTCCATCTGTCAAATAAATAAATAAAATCTTTAAAAAAAAAAAAAGAAAAGGTAAAAATATCTCATTACTTAAAAATTCCATTATTAGTTATAACCTTGTTATAGACAAGTGTCCGTTATGGGTTAAGGGGTGTTTAAAGTAGAACTGTTTATTATAGCAAAATAAGAGGATTAAAAAAAAAAAACAAAGACATTTAGAAAGCAGGTTATGTAAGAATATACACATTATTGTTTACTTATGTAAATAATCAACACTTCCATCATTAAGCAAATTACATATCTATATGGTTATATACACATATGCAAACACTCATATATATGAATTCATACAACTGGGGTAATAATCTGAAACTATCAGATTACATAGTAGTGAAACTATTGAGAAAGACAAGGGAATTATTAAAAATTGTCTTATGATTTCCTGTGGTATGAAATATAGTTGGTTTTTAAAATTCATGGGTCCGCTTATACACAGATTTTTTTTACAGGACAGTACAGTCTGTTGTCCTTATGATTTTCTTAATATTTTCTTTTCTCTAGCTTTATTGTAAGAACACCATATATAATACATATACAAAATATGTATTAATTGACTGTTTACGTTGTCATAAGGCTTCTGGTCAACAGTAGAGTATTGGTATTTAAGTTTTGGGGGAGTCAAAAGTTATATGTGGAATTTCAGCTGTGTAGGGTAAGGGGGTCCATACCTCTAAGACCCTCACTGATCAAGAGTCAACTGGGGAAAATCTGATCTTAGTATGAGGAGAAGTGCAGGCAAAGTGCCCAAATTATAAAAATACATTTAGCCATTTGAATTTTTTTTAGAAAAATAATGAGTGTGTAAAAATATACTAAAAATATTTTATGTGTAAGTGGACTTGTGGGTACCTTGATGTTTATTTTTAAACCTCAATATAGAATGTATTTATTCCATTTTAATGCATAACATTTTCTATTAAGATTAAAGGACATTTTATTTAAAAAGTTCATTACTTGATACATTTTATGTTGTCTCTTTATGTTTAACAGCCAAGCTGTGATGTGTATATGCATCCATCACAGTTTTGCACAAGAGAAAAGGATCCAGTCTGTGCAACCAATGGTCAGACTTATTCCAACACATGCGTTTTCTGCAATGAACAACTGTAAGAACAATTGTAAGACTAAATATGGCTTTCCCAAAATAATGAAGAAACCCTCATAGAATGATAGGAAAACCCATATTTTTGATACCCTAGGCACAGTATATACAGAAAATAACTACTGTCTTTGTAGAAGCCACAGAAACACACGTGTACCTTTCCCTGAAATTCTCATTTCTAGAAGCAGTTTTGTATTTGAACTCTCAAATATAACTCTGTGGATATTCTGCAAATGTATAAGTCAACTAGTTGAACTTAATTTAATTATCATGATTTACTAATGACAGTCTAGTTAGTGACTGATATAATTCCAAAGTCCAGATGATAAATGGTAGGTAGTCTCCACAGTGTAGCTGCAAACTAATATGGGCATTATTGAGGAAGCTACAGAACTCTGAAATCCATCACAGCGGGCTTGTTTATGCTAAGAAGTGCTTCTCTGATGCTCCGCTCTGTCTCTTGAACTCTATGACACGCTCTGAACCTTTTTTAGAAGCAGGGCATTCTGGAACCTTCCATGCAAACCCTTTTCCTGTATCCTTCACTCAAAAGGAGTTTGCAGTCTTTCAGTTTGGTCAATTTTTCTGAGTCACCATTTTCTATCACATATATTTCCTCTCCTTTAATTTGAAAATCTCTACTCCTCTCCTCTCTCAAGTCTGTGTGCAGGTTTCAAGCTGTGGTGTAGTGTGTAGGAAGAACCAAACAGCCTCAGGTGTGGGGGGAACATGTGCAGTGCCGCTGAGCAGGCAAAGCCCACCTGCCTGTACCACTATGCCATTTTTAAATTCTCTTCATTGTGGAGCACTTAGTGCAATACCTAGAGATTTTAAATGTCTTTTTTTTAATAATTTCCTTTTTTTTCTTTCTTTACAGTGAAAGTGGAGGAGCATTTCAGTTTAGTTATTATGGTCGATGCTGATTTTGCCTGAGCTACACATTCCTATGGCTTTTATTGTGATCCAGTTTTGTGGTAGATTCTACAACCAGTTAGAATCTACTCAGTCAGGGTTTTAAATTCCCAGATAACCAGACAAAGACTTCTATTGTATTAAGATGGAATATAGCTTGTTGAAGAATTTTCCTAAGACCCTATGATTGAGAGATTTTTTTCTTTTCTATCTCCAGTTATTCAAAGACAACTGAAAAATTATCTTAATTGTGTGATTCTTAACTAGACAAGATAAAACCTAATGCACTCAGGTGAACCATGAGAGACTATGGACTCCAATCTGAGGGTTTTGAAGGGGCGGGGGGTGGGAGGTTGGGGGAACCAGGTGGTGGGTATTAGAGAGGGCACGGATTGCATGGAGCACTGGGTGTGATGCAAAAACAATGAATACTGTTACGCTGAAAAGAAATAAAAAAAATTTTTAAAAAAACATAAATATTTCAATCAACACAATGTTCAATAATATTATCCTTTTAAAATACCCTTTCTTTCATTGGTTAGTGGATAAAAAGACATGAATACTTTTGGTAACTATAATTAAAGAAATATTTTCAAAGGTGAACAAATAATAAATTTCTTGTGTATTTATTAAAAATACACACACTTGGGCTCCTCTTTATCATAAACAATCAAAACCTCTAAGAGAGGGATCTGGGAATTTGATTCTAATATGTACTCCAGGTTAATCTTACGATTACAAATGTCGGGCAATATGCACTTAAATTCTAAAACATGGGTCTATCATTGAATGACTCAGAGAGTCTGTTCAAAGATATTGTGAGATTTCCGAGGTTTGGAAGATAATTTATATAATTTTCTTTTTCTCTCATGGATCTAACAAGAGAAAAGTTGGTGATCCTGGGGTGCCAGACAACTCTGTGTTCATCACTACAGTCTATCCATTTGTGGTCCAAGTCCAGTGATCCTCCGTTTCTTTGGTCTCTCAGCCAACAAGAAACAAGCTTTGTTTGGGTGGTTATATGTTCATTTGAAGCTTGATTTTAATGGCAGAAATGTAGACTGATTACTAGAAGACAAGTATCAATCTGCTACACTATCAGGCCTGCTCTCCTTTTCACTAAACACTTCCCCCTCTAAAAAGATTGATGTATGTGGGAGTTACATATTCATTTACATCTTTAGTATTAATTCTTAATGAAAATGTCCATTAGAATGTAGACATTAGAGCCACATTATAAAAATGCTTTCAGTTGGGGCCCCTGGGTGGCTCAGTGGGTTAAAGCCTCTGCCTTCGGCTCAGGTCATGGTCTCAGGGTCCTGGGATCCAGCCCCGCATTGCATTGGGCTCTCTGCTCAGTGCGGAGCCTGCTTCCTCCTCTCTCTCTCTGCCTGCCTCTCTGACTACTTGTGATCTGTCTCTCTGCCAAATAAATAAATAAATAAATAAAAATCTTTTTTAAAAAATGCTTTCAGCCACTTTCATAGACTTTTTCGTTATAGAGGACATGTATAAAAAACATTCAGTGAATGCTGGTAAATTTATACATGTATTGTTTTTCCTTTTATTTAACATATTATTTTTTAAAAATCACTACCATCTGTTAAGCCCTGTATTAATCGTAGGGAAATGTTGCTAGGAAAAGTAGGTACTACTATTGTCTTCTAGGATCTTTGGGTATACTTGTAGAAGTTAGTATCCATCAGCGATGGGAATTCTACCTCATTGATTGTCCTCCTTCGTATTTACCCAAAGGAATTAAAAATTTGTGTTCACACAAAAATCTTTATAACGTAGTAGCTTTATCCATAATTGCCAAAACTTAGAAGAAAGCAGGATGTCCTTCAATATGTGAATGGGTAAAAAAAACTGGCAATCCAGACAACAGAATATTATTCAGCCATAAAAAGATGAACTATCAAGCCATGAAAGACAGAGGAAACTTAAATGCATATTACTAAGTGACAGAAGCCAATCTGGAAAGGCATATTTTTTTATGATTCCAACCATATGGCATTCATGAAGAAGCAAAACTATGGAGACAGTAAAAAGTTCAGTATTTGTCAGGGGAGAGACATAAAAAGGAAGAGCACAGGGAATGTTTAAGCCAATGAAAATACTCTCTTGTGATATTATAATGATAAATATATTTCATTAAACTTTTGTCCATACTTATAAATGCACAACACCAAGAGTAAGCCATAAGGAAAACTATGGCTTTAGGGTAAGTATGATGTGTCAATGTAGATTCATCCTTGGTAAAAATATGCCATTTTAGGGGTGCCTGGGTGGCTCAGTCAGTTAAGCGTCTGCCTTCAGCTCAGGTCATGATCCCAGGGTCCTCGGATTGAGTCCCGCCTCAGGCTCCCTGCTCAGTAGGAAGCCTGTTTCCCCCTCTCCCTCGGCCTGCCTCTCTACCTACTTGTGCTCTTTCTCCCTCTGTCAAATAAATAAAATCTTTAAAATATATATATATATATACACAATTTTAGTGAATGATGATAACAGGGGAGCCTATACATGGGGAAGGAGCAGAGAGTATAAAGGAAATCTCTCTATCTTCCTCTCAATTTTCTTATAAATCTAAAACTGCACTAAAACAATGAGGTCACAAAATACCAATTGAGATGTGTATGAATTTATTTTGACTCCTTACTCTATTCTACTATTCTGTGTCAATCTTTATGCCAGTACCATACTTTCTTCACTGTATCTTTGTAGTGTGTGTTAAATCTGGGTATTTAAATCCTCCAACTTTGTGCTTTTTCAAGATTGTTTTGGCTACCCAGAGTCCCTTGAAATCCAGTATGAATTTTAGTATTAGATTGTCAATTTTGGCAAAAAACAAGGTGGGAATTTTTGATCAGGATTACATTAAATGTACAGATTGCTTTAGGGATTATTGGTATTTTAACGAGATTAAGTCTTCCAAACTATGACCATGGGATCTGTTTCCATTTCTTTAAGTTTTCTTTTAATTTCTTTTAGCAGTGCTTTTTAATGTTCTTAAAATTTTTTTTTAAAAATCTCTTAAAAATTCAGCTTGTATTTATGTTTCTTCTTTAAAAAATGTTTTTATTTGAGGATAGGTGATACACAATGTTATTTTGGTTTCAAGTATACAACATAGGGATTCAATATCTCTATATGCTGTGCTCACCAATTGTACCTACCATCTGTCAATATAACAACACTATTACAGTATCATTGACTGTATTACTTATGCTGTGTCTTTTATTCCTGTGACTTATTCATCCATCTCCCACTCCCCCTCACCCTTTTTGTCCATCCCTCCAACCCCCTTTTCTCTTGCATTCCTCACTTTGTTCTCTGTATTTTTAGGTCTGTTTCTTAACAATTTTTTTTTAATTCTTAGTGTACAAAGGTTTCATTAATTAAATTTATTTATAAATATTTTACTATTTTAGATGTGTGTAACTTGTGTAAATGGAATTGGTTTTCTTCATTTTGGGGGAAATTATTCATCATTAGAGCATGAAATACAATGGATTTGTTAAATATTGATTTTTATAGTCTCTAATTTTGCTGAACTTTTTAATTTGCTCTAATAGTTTTTTAAATTGTTTTATTGTGGTAAAAAACACATAACCAAAATTCATCATCTCAACCATTTCCAAATGTGCAACTCAGTAATATTAAATATATTAACATTTTGTACAACTAATCTCCAGAAATTTTTCATCTTGTAAAACTGAAACTTTACCCACATTAAACAACTGTCCATTTCTTCTCCCCAAATCTCCTGGCAGGTAGGATTCTACTTTCTATTTCTATGAATTTGACTGTTTATATGACTTTTATGAGTGGAATCATGCAGTGTTTGTCTTTTTGTAACTGGTTTATGTCACTTTGCGTATTATCTTCAATATTTATCCACGTTATAGTATTGTCATGATTTACTTACTTTTCAAGGGTGAAAACCATTACATTGTAGTACATGCCACATTTTATTTACCAATTCATCTATTGATGGACACTTGGATTGTGTCCTACTCTTGACTATTGAGAATAGTGCTGCTATAAATATGAATATGCCAATATTTCTTCAAGATCCTCATTTTAGTATTTTTGGAAATATACTTTTAGTGACCATGTGTCTATGTGTCTTGGTGTGGACTTCCTGGGATTGATTTTGTTGGGGAATCTTTGTACCTCCTGGATATGGATTTCTGTTTCCTTCCCTAGATTATGAAAATTTTCAGCTATTATTTCTTGATAAATTTTCTGCCAAAATTGTTCTGGGATCCCCATAATGCAAATGTTATTATTATGCTTGATGGAGTCACTGAGTTCTCTAAGTCTCTTCTCATTTTGCATAATTCTTTCCTTCACTTTCTCAGCTTGATTCCTTTCCATTACTCTGTCTTCCAGGTCATTAATTCATTCCTCTGCTTCCTTTAGCCTGCTGTTCATTCCATTAGCTGTATTTTTAATTGCATTTATTGTGTTCTTCATCTCTGATTGGTTCCTTTTATCTCTCTGTAAGGGCCTCACTCCTCTATTCTTTTCTCCAGTCCAGTGAGTGTCTTTATGATCATCAAATTCTTTAAACTCTCTATTAGGTATATTACTTATCTCAGTTTTGCTTGTGATTTTGTCCTATCCTTTCATTTGGGAGACATTCCTCTGTCTTTTATTTTTCCTAGTTCTCTATGTCTGTTTCTACATGTTAGGAAAGCCAGCTACTTCTCCTGCTCTTAAAAGTAGTGGGTAGGGCACTCACTTTTAAAAAGGTGGCACTGGTCCTCTTTCACAAGGGATATGCAGCTGCTGTGGAGACCAGGGCCAGTCAGGGCTGTTCCAGCAAGAGTGCCAGAGCTAAGCTCTTCTAGAGGCAAGTGCAGCTGACTTTTACTGTTGTAAATACTCACAAACTTCAGTGTCTCTGATTTCCACAACCAAATGTTATGGGGATTTATCTTCCCTATACATGTTCCCTGGTGTCATAGTCTGTTTCTTGCCCCTCTCCACACTCCTTCCTTCCAGCTCCCTCCCTCCTGTGGCCAGACCTGCAGATTTTAGCTCCCCACCCTGTCTCTGCCCTTCCTACCCTCTTCATTGTGGCCTCTTCTCTACATTTAGTTGTGCAGTTTGTTCTGCCAGTCTTTGGGTTGATTTCTGGGTTATTTGTACTGATGTGAGTGTTATCTAGTTGTATCTGTGGGATGAGGTGAACTTAGGGTCCTCTTATTTTGCCATTTCTCCCAGATATCCCAGTTTATGATTTTTGATTGGAGAGTTTAATTTATTCACATTTA